TAGTCACTGAAAATGTATACTCCCATGTACATTATTTTCCAGAAAGCAATCTTCTTCCCTTTCCCTACCAGACTCAGAGGAATTGACAAAGTTTTTTTTCTGAAGGTTTTGGAGATCTCCATAGCTGCACAGTGCCACCACAAACTTCAGTAGTTGTAGGGGTAAAAAAGTTTCCCAAAACTGATGGTTTTACTTTTCCCATGACATGGCGTGTGGGTTTCCTTTATTTGAATCGGACTGCAACGCTTTAAACACAATGTTTTAAAGAGGATCAAATTATTGCTGCTACTCAATTTGATGTGTTTAAAATACATGAAAAGATTTCTGTCACTTAGTTTGAAAGAAAGCGAAGCAACTATGAAAGCTTTTATTATCAGTGATCAAATCACTTCTTGAGAAAAGGGGATATGGACTGTAACTAGGTAACAAAACCTTTGGGGAAAACACTTGGGAGTTACATTTTATAACCCCAGTTAGGAGTGGTGTAATTGTTCAGTATTTCCAGATAATTATGCAAGTTCCTGCTTAGTTCCTTCAGCTCAATGGCTAAATGAAATAAATCAAATCACTTAAAAAACAACTGTATTATTATTATTATTATTATTATTATTATTATTATTAGCCACTGTGGACATCACCAATACCCTCCCACTTCTCCAACCCTTCCACCTTCTGGGAAGAGATACAGATTAATCAAAACCTGAAGCAACAGCTTAAAAGTCCTTAACTCCTTCTGTCCTCAAGACTGTAGTAATATGCGGGGTAGTGGAAGTACATAAACCATGTTAGTCTCACCTTTTTTTCTTTTTTTTTTTTACTAAATGCAAAAGTCTTGAGCCACAACTAATTTCTTTCTAATTTGCTTTCAAGGAGTCAGATGTTCCGGTAAAATTTTAAAGGGATTTATTTATTTGACTTAACTATTTGACTTAACTGGCTGTGGCATCAGCAAATACTATTAACTATTTTTTTCTGTGTTCTAGCAAGCTTTCAGTAGGTCAGCGTTTCAAGATTTTATATATTTATACAGTGTTACAGTTTGTAACAAAAGCTGCCAACTTCTGCTGTCAGGGTTAATTAAAATTAAAATGAAAAATTAAAAACAAATAAAAAATGTAAATAACAGTAGAGCTTACTATTAGTCATGAAAATATGTGTTATGAAGAACAAAAGGTTGTATTTTAAATCTGCTATTTACCCCAATTTTAATCCATTTCCAAACCAAACACAAACAAAACACTACAAACACTACAAAAATTATCAGTGTTTGCATAAAGAATCATTTGTCTTCTACTGACAGAACTTGGGTTAGTTTGTGTTTTAAATGTGTATTATAAATAAAAGTCACATGCCTCAAACCTGAAAGGAATGAATCTGATTCTTGGGCTGCTTTTTTGGTACAATTTTCAAACATGCTTTCTAAATGAAGATACCACAAAAGCCGAAAAGAAAACACAATTCCATTTCTTAGCCGAGAAAGAATATCTATAAAGCTATATAACTCTAAATAAAAATGTGTACAATAAGGCACTCAAATCATTCATCATTAACTGATGGAAAACTATGAGTTTCTATTAATTTAGTTCTGTAATGACTTCATCGCGTCTTTACCACAATTGTAACAAAAGCAATGTCAAGTAGCTTTGGAAAGATCTGTAAGACCTGAAACACTGAAAGACTTGTGTAGCCTATCCCCAACATGCTATACTTGTAACTGACTTCCTCTAGAAGTCTGAACATGCCAGGCGCATTTTGGAAACACCCGCTGTGGTCTCATAAGGTTTATATCGAACATCTGGACACAATGAGAAAAGGTACACTTCAAGACAAAAAGGTGCTGAAAGCCTCAACCAAACTCTTGGACTACATGTGTTTAGGTAAACATTTTAACAAGCACTAGATTAAAAACATTAAAACAAAAACTTTAAAAATACAATTCGTTTTAGACCTAGTTTGGACAATTGCCCTGTACGGAGCCCCGCAAGTGACATTGGAGAAAAAAAAAATAAAGATGAACTTTTGCAAGATCTCCCAAAACTTTTCCCATCTTGGTATACCAGAAAAAAAAAAAAGCATTGCAATTCTAATAATGTTGTATCATGTGCTAACTTGTGCACGCAAGGGCTCAGGTTACCACCATGAAACAAATAAGTCATGTGTGGCCTCCGTATTTTTTGCTGCATTTGATTTGAAGTGGAAATTCTGAATTTGTGTATAAAATTCATAAAGTCAGAGAAGCCATACGACCAAGATTTCACAATCCTATGACAGCTTTGCATATAAACAGCAGGGAACCTGTAAAACTTGGAATCTGTACAGCTACTTTTGTGCATTTGAGACTCACTAAATAAATCATACACAGAACACTAACCAAGTTCTATTTGTGAATATGAAGCGGTTTTAATCACACAAAAGGCCTTGTACTATATTGATGGTAATTGATGAATGACAATGAAAAGTTGCTTTTCCAACTTTACAAATGGAATGCAGTTAACTCTGGAGTGAGATTACTCCAATGTGTGACATCCGGGGCAAATCAAACAACGCATTTGTCCTTCCCTTTGAATCAGTGCTGTGACTACATGTATTAGTCTTTATTGTCAACATTTAAATTGTCTGTATTAAAATACAATCAGTATTGTGTAACAATCTTTAGCCAGCCTTTGTTTGTTTCATATTTGGACATTTTTGTAATTTTTCAAAATTTTTTAGAAGTGTGTTGGGGATTTTCTTCATTTAAGCCATTTAACACTGACCTTGCAAAAATGCCTCCACCACTTGTGTCAGCTAACAGAACATATTTGGTAATTGTAGATATATTTTTTATATATTTTTGTTGTTGTGTGGTTTGAGGGGGTGACAATGTCTGCTTGCCTTTCTGTAAATAGCCACTTCAATCACAAATGGTGTTGTGTGCGCACACAGACAAGTGAGCAAAAAACTAATCTTAAATTGTCCCTTTAGACATTTTGTGGTGAGTAGCCTGTTGCAAAAACTAAGGAATCTATTCCAATGTATTTAAGTGAACCTATAAAAGATGCCCAAGATACAGTTACAAATACATATACTCACAGACACACAGATGCAATACAATACAATACAATTCTATCTATTCTATATTATATAATATATTATAATACATAATATAATATCATAGACTAATTATGTTTTTAAATGTGATTTTATGTGGTTTTTAGTTTTTTTTTCTTTTCTTTTCTAGCATCTTTATAGGTTTTCAAGCAAACGGGTACTTTTAGTCAAGGTGAAAACTGTACACACCCACACAGATACAGATAAAGATTTCGATTACCTCATGACTAGACATATACAGCTGATTTGTAAAGATATCCCTCCCACCGGTATCTCTCTGCCAAAGCTCACATTGGCATGCAGCTGAGTTTCTACTCAAGTGCATTCAAGTAGTAGTCTGCAACGAATTCACTTCAAAACTAGCCGTCCTGTGGGTATAATATGGAACTAATACACCCAATTCTACTTTTGATTCTGGTAAGGCTTAAGTATTTAAATCTACATGTAATGTTGTATTACTTCTGCCATGAATTTCAACACAAATATTTTAAAAATATGTCTAATTGTTTTACTAATTGTGTTTATGACGATTATGTCTGTCAACATTATACTGAGTTATAGCCAGTGTTTAAAGATGAAAAATCTGCTAAGAATTTTCATATAATACTCATAAATATGCTGTGCTGCACATTTACTGCAAGAAATGTTTCCAGTGTAATCTTTTGCAGTGTTGGGGAGTCCACAGATCATCTTCACAACTTTTGCTGCGTCAAAAAAGAAACTGGATCATTGATTCCTTTACTATTGATGAAGGTTATCAGGGACCTTTCCCATATTCACTGGGCAAAGTGAGTGTATGCCTTTAAATGTAACACATATCATGAAATAAGGAAGGATAATTCCAAAATTCACTGCTCGTGTGTCTTATGTTTGATACAGATTGAGGTTGAGAAGGACCTCGTTCTTTTTATGATACAAGGACAAGGTGTTGATGAGGAACCAACGCAAGTGTTAGAAATCAATTCATATACAGGAGAAATAAAGGTCCTCCGTTCTGTGGACTACGAACAACATCAAACTCTTAAGGTAAGAAGAAATTAAAAAAAAAACTTATGGAAAGTAAAAGCTATGCATGGAGTGAGGTTTGATTATTTCATCTTTCCATTTCAGCTTACATTTAAAGCACTTGACAGAGAAAAACATGAAATAGAGACACAACTCGGGATTTCTATAGATATTTTGGACTCAAACGACAACCCTCCAAAATTTCTGTTTGAAAAGTACACTTTCACCATAAAAGAGTCAACATCACAGGGTAATTTTCTCATTTGGAAGGGAATATTATTTACAATTGTAATGCTACTGCAATGAAGTTATGTTTTTTGTGACAGTGAATCTAAATAAAATAATCATTATTTCCTTTTGATATTAACAGGCACTGAAGTGGGTAGAATTCAAGCAACAGATCAAGACACAAGTGAGATATATAACAAAGTTGACCTTAAAATAGTTTCAGTGGAACCTAAACCTAAGGATCTTGAGTTCTACTTCAAAGAGATTGATAAGACAGGCATTGGAGTCATTTCTTTTAAAGGATGTCTGGACCATGAGGTGAGAGAAATTACTGCTTGATGGCAAAATTCTCAAATTAAAACTTTCCATTTTAATCTTTCAACATGAATCTCCTCAGATTTCAATAGCACAACTAAATTCAATATGTTTGACATCCATTTACATTCAAGATGAGCAATATTTTATTTTTCTCCATCAGACAGCTGAGAAATACACCATTATAGTGGAGGCCAAAGACAATGGAAAAAAACCGCAATCCAGCTCCTGCACCATCATAATCAATATAGAAGATGGAAATAATCACCTTCCTGTCATCACACAGCAAACAGTTAGCAGTTACTTATTTCAGTCACAATAATTTATTCAATGAAAATCATTTCCTATTTTACAACTTCCTCTTTTGTGACCCGAGGGCCCAGAAAAAGTGAAAGAAGGACAGACAAATGTTCTTGTTTCACGTATACAAGTTCATGATGAAGACACCAGAGGAACTCCAGCCTGGAGAGCCAAATATACAATCCAAGGAGACACAAACAACAACTTTAGAATAACTACAGATCCTGAGACAAACGATGGACTACTCCATGTGAAAAAGGTATTTTTGTGATTATGTTTACAGTAGACTAAACTTTCCAATCTAAGTAGTTCAAAACAGTCTCTGTGGTGAAAACCCTGTCACATTTTTTTAAATTAACCAACATAAGCTCTTTTTTATCTTCAAAAATTAGTATATAAAACACAGAAAAACATAAAAGAGATTTTCCTGGCCTGGCTTTTTATAGCAGATAACCTTAAAAATAATTTGAAGTAGAACAAAATTTGGAAGAAAACCATGACTCAGCATATGAACATTACCTGATGCTGCTAAAGTGAAGCAGAACAAAATTACAGAGGTTTTATTAGACACAGCTAAGCGTTTTGCAATTTGGCATAAGTTTAAAAAGATTATATTTATTCAGTATTAAACAGGAGAAATGAGACTTTGTTGTCAGAAGTCATTTATATATAAAAAAAAAAAGCAGTGACCAACAGTGCTGTAAACAACAGTAGACTGCTTGGTAATAAGCAAGCGAATCATGCAGAAAACAGATTTGAGATGGGGAAACTGTTCTTGAAGTGCACTGAGAGAGAGAGAGCTGTGCAGGAAGTGTGATTTTATCATAGTGGAAGCAAAACAACAAAAGTAAGAGGGAATTCATTACGATGTTTATGTAAAGCGAAATGTGAACCGGCGAAGCATAGTTTTGATCTTCTTTTGCTGCTGGTTCAGTCTATTTTGCTTGGAGAGGGACAAAACCTACAGCTTTACAATCTAGTGCAAAAAAAGACAAAAACACAAAGCGCAGCCCCGACCTATCAGAATCTGTGAGCTGTCGACTTTCAGCACTGACTGTTTACGTGAAAGAAAGCCGACATCTCACTCATTGTGATGCATCGGGTCCGCGCTCTGTGCGTGAGTCTTTTTGTGGAATCCATTTACCTCCTCTCATTTACTGTTTTAGATGTTTTGTGGTTGCTGAAATAGTTTTGTGAGATTCTGGCATTTCTGGCAAAGTACATTTATATTTAAAAATCGATTCGGGATTTTAACAAATCGATATGGCTTTATTCAAGCTAAAAGCAATTTTAATCGGGTAGCAAACAGTTTTAACCAAAGCTATGTTTTAAAAAGCCCTGGAAAAATATGATAAGTTATTGTTGGGTCTGCGCTTCCACAGGCCCCGCTGGTTTAGAAACCTATTCCCGTTAACGACAAGCAAGGAAACAAGACGAACAGCTTTTACTTGCTAGCAAGGAAGACTGGCTGTGGGAGCTGAACACTCCTCACCTGTCTCCTAGCCAGAATCAAATAAACAGCCTTCCTCGCAGCCTTTTATTTCCATGACTTACAAATTTAAGTAACACAATGACAACATTTAACAATTTGACTCCAACAGTTATGCTCTTTTACAGGCTTTAAACTACGAAGATGGTGCTCTGAAGAATATAACTATCACTGTAGAGAATGAGATCCCCTATTATTCATGCAAAGTGGAAAAACGCAGCTCCACTGGTCTTTGGAAAGTAGTTACCACATCTGGTTCCGCTGCTACTGGGCCTGCAATGAGCTTCGTAGCTGGAACAGTTGCATCCAGCCGTCAAGTGATCGTGACTGTTGAGGATGTCAATGAGCCTCCAGTCTTTGACAAGACTACCATAGAAACTGCGGTCCGTGAGAATGTTAAGGAAGGCCAATACCTGGCAACACTCACAGCTAAAGACCCTGATGTTGCCAACAAAAACACATTTAAGTAAGTCTTGACAACTATACAACTACATGTCACTTCTACAAGACAAAAACATACAGCATTACTACATCAGTAGACACTTTGAAAATGTCTAACAAACCATTTCAGATACATGATAGGACACGATCCAGCTGGTTGGATTAAAGTGGACCCTGACACTGGAAACATTACAACATCAAAGCCCTTGGATCGAGAGTCAGAGTTTATTACAGACAACATTTATGTAGTCACAATATGCGCTGTTGACGATGGTATGAATCGATAAGTATTCACATATTTGGCCCATGATTCATTTACATTTCCTCATTACATTTCTAAACAAGGTGCAATACTTTTTCATTACCAGGGAAACCACAAATGACAAGCACTGCAACTCTTAGTATCTATGTTAAAGATGACAATGATCATACTCCATACCTGGTTGTAAGCACAATTGAAATGTGCCAATCTGACGGACAATCCTTTGCCAACATCACAGCCTTAGACTCAGATGTTGAGCCCTACAGTGGCCCTTTCACCTTCAAGCTCCATGGAGATGTTGAGGGCAAGTGGAAGATTGACCCTGTCACTGGTAAGCTTTAGAGTCTGCAGATACTCAACCTTTTATAACTCACAAAAACAGTGTCACTTGTATTAAATATACTTCTAAGCCTCCTTTATATAAAAGTACAAGTAGTATATACATAGACTGCCACAATGACTGTTATACATCTGATTATGTATTCATTTTGGACACACAGGTTATTCAGTCAACTTGGTTAAAGAGCCTACAGTTCATTCCAATCACCATGAGCTGTCGCTAGAAGTTTCTGACCAACAGGGGAAATCAGCTTTCCACAACCTGTCAGTTACTGTTTGCAGCTGCTTAGACTCAGAAATCCCAAACTGTCATGTGAGGACATCTGGCACCACACTAGGAGCAGGGGGAGTGGGAATTATTTTGTTGGCCATGCTGCTGATTACAGGTTGGACACATGTTTCAAATATTTCAATTATTATAAAGATATAAGATATTCTCATTTATATTTGTTGTTGTTATTTAAAAACGATTAAAATATAATAATAAAAAAAGGTCTAACAATAAGAAATAACTTTGACTATAATAATAAGCTTTGGACTTCTTCTGGGAAAAAAATGTAAATGAGTTTTCGATGGGTGTTTTTCAGTTAGATTTAAGTACTTATTTTTATGCTTGTTAA